TTAGTTCAGGGGCTCCGGGTCACCTCAGGCCTGGATGCTAAAAGCCTCCAAGCTGGTTCTTATTTCTCCAAGCTCATGTGTCCTCCTGGACCATCATGTGAATGACATCTAGAGTTTTGCAGTGCACAACCTGCACAACCATTCCCAGCAGCCCTGCTCACCTCACCCTGCTCCTCCAGGCTGGCCCTTCCTGTCTCGCTAGGCATTGGGGTGCTGAAAGGAGGGCCCTGCGCTTACATGGGTGGGCGCCAGGCTGAGTCTGGGCTACATGCAGTAAGCAAGGGCTCGGCCAGAAAGGAGGATGCTAACACCCAAAGAGAAGCAGCAATACAAAACGGGGACTCCTGATGGCGCCCCAGCCTCCTGCACCAAGCTTCTTAACGTCACACCCCCTTCCAGAACCTGTTTCCGCTTTCATCCCTCACTCACCATGAGGGCATCAAAGGACCAAGAAGAGGTATCTTAAAAAGCGAATTTGGAGAGATGGTTTCCTCGAGGCGCTACACGGAGCCCCGCCCCTCCTCAGGGGTGTGTGTGCATGCGCGTGTGGTGGGGTAGGGGGAAGGGGGTCCCTTGACCCTTTAACCCTAACGACCAGGCTCTGCAGGAGACACTCAGAGACCTTGAGATGGGCCCCTACCGTGGTGGGCGCTCGGTGGACGGGTGTCCAACTCGCCCGTCCGATCTGACGGAACAGTGAGCCGCACGAGAGGGGGCCCGGGGGCGTGGCACGTGCCACGTTCACCAGGGCAGAAGGCGCCGAGGTCTTCCCCATGAGCAAGGCCTGGGCGACACACATCGACCAGCTGACCTGCGGGTCATCTCAGGTCCTGAGGGAGTGAATGGGGCTCAGAAGAAAGCAGCTGGAGGTAACACTGCACCCTTGGCACTGCAAAGGAGGAAGTGGTGGGCCAGGGGCGGGGCCGAGGAGAGGACCTGAGCTGGGGGCAGCGGGGTCTCCAAAGGCCCCCGGAAGCACCCCGTGTGAGAACGAAAGAACAAGAGCTGAGCCCCGGGCAGGCCCAGGGCGCAAGGCTGGCGTAAGACAGCAACCACCAAGAGTAAAACCTCTCACCCTCCGCCCTCCCTCCTTGCCCCCGCTCCAACTCCGACGGGGCGGTAAGTGATCAGCGATTCTACCCCTGGTCCAGCGCCTCTGTTACAAATGCACGGGGCGGGGTGAGAGGGCCTCAGAGGGGCCGGGAGGGATGCGGAGCGGAGCGCTGGGCCGGCTCTTCTTGCATCCCATTTTGGCACGTGCCTGCCCAGAGCAGACATTCTTTGGTGAATGAATGAAGTCATTCACACGCGCCTCCCCTGAACACACACTGATTCTACGCCCCCTGCATAACAGCCCTATTCCTTGCAGCCTTCTCACCTCCAACCCCCTCTTCTTGTCACTAAGGTCAAGCTCTCCATGAACTAAGATAACCTGGGCCGGTTCCCCCAAAAGGGCTTGACGTGGATCCCTGACAGCCCCTCTGCTGGCCTTCCCTTCTGGAAGCTCCCAGCCCTAAGTCTCTCTGTGAAACACAGATGGGAAAACCGGAAGTATTCTCACATACAACTGCCTAGTTAGAGACTGTTATCAGCTGGGCAAAGGGAATGAGCACACGGCTCCCAGAAAATGCCCCGTGAATGGCTTCTACAAAGGCAAACAGGCTCAGTCTAGCTCGCGGAAAGGAACACAGACTGAAAGTCCAACTATCAACTCAGCAAAGAGCAAAGTTCCACAGAGCCCGGTGCTGGCAAGGGCCTAAGGAAAGTGGCCCTCCTCTGCAGCGGAATGTTGAGCAGTGGTACCTCTTCAGAGGACAATTCGGTGACATGTTTCAAGCTTACACTCAACTAGGGAAAGAGGTTAACGTCATGGGCAAAGGACGTATAAAAGCAACGCAGGGAAGAAATACCAGTGACCCATAAATATCTAGGAAAAATGTTCACCATTATGAGAATCAAAAGCCATTTAAAGCTGAACGCCTTCCTTTCTCTTTTCATTTTCTTTTTTCTTGCCAGGTGGTCAAAGTTTAAAATTAAATTACCCCTAGTGTCACCTAGGGGACAATGAAGCAGGCTCTGCAGTACCTGCTGG